TTTCAATTTTTAATGAACTGAAAATTTGCATATTTTCAAAAAATCCGTTAACAGCTCGGATCTGAACTACAATAGCATATGTTGATTTTTGACAAAGCAATACTTCCACTTTTTAGTGAACTGGAAATTTGCACTTTTTCAAAAAATTTGCATTTGTCATTTTTTAACGAAGCAAGGCATTTACCGAAAAACGGCCGAACTTCATGCAAAAAACCGGTAATCATGCACTTGGATGTCCGTGCGGCTCTATAATGCACCACCTTCGACATGCAAAAAACCAGTAATCATACACCAGGATGTACTTGCGGCTCTATAGTGTACCACCTTCATTCCAACTGGCACCCTTCCTCCTGCATGCTGGAAAGGGGCAAAGCACGGCCAATATGAGCCCCAGTGTCAGGCTACACCGCATTCTTGCTAATAGCGCTCTGCGAGTTTGGTGCAAAAACGCATGATCGCACCGGAGAGTCTGGTACGTTCCAGCTTGGGTTACGATTTTCGCGACTCAAATCGGGACCCAGGTCAAAGTGCATAATGCGTGTTGGAGCCGAGTTTCAGTAGTCGCTCGTTTGTCGTTCCAGCTCTCCTGTCGAAATTTCCTGGGGGTTTCGTTGTTTATTTTTTGAGTTCGGGATGGCTACTAATTTACATTTTTTTATTCAAGATTCGCAGCTGTCAACTTTTTGTGATTGTGCTCACCAGTACCATTGCATTGTTTAGTGAAGAGCCTACACGTGGTGCTGACGTTCGTTTCGTCTGCTAAGGAGATTTCCAGCTCAACCTTTTCACACTGTGGTACTTGGCCAGGGCTTCAGCCATTTCCAGATGTCATTGGTTATAGCAGTTCCCGGATTCCCATTTGAAATCACCGGTTAATTTCACTTCTCAGTCGGATGTGGTGGTACATCGTGCTTTTACTAGACTGTCACTCGTGCTACGTTATCGCATCTGTTGCTTCTATGCCTGGATTTTTTCAGTGATATGTGTTCTTTTCAGTTCAGCAGTTTGGGGATGGAAAATTTGAAAGACCTACTTGTTGGGTCCGATTCGAAGTTTGGCGCAAAGGAATTCGAAGAAGCGTACAACATCCTCGCGAAGTTTGCATCCAAGCAAGATGAGCTGCCGGCCGAAAAAGATCGTATTCATGGCCAAATGGTGCCTGTTCGCGCTGATCAGGTTATTTTTTGTCTAAATCTGTCTTGAATTTTTATGCGTTTTTGTATCTGTGCAATACAAGAGCGTATATTGTCGAGGGGTTGTCTGTGTGTGTGTCTCTCTCTCTCTTTCTCCGTGCGTCTGTAGCAAGTTTTCTTCTCAAGACCATAAAAGCTACAAGCTACACAGGTACAAATTAAGCTAACTTCGGCAACTTAATTTATACCTATGTACGAGCCCCTATTGCTGGTATGGAAACCCAGACTGGAACGAACCAGGCTCTCCGGTGCGATCATGCGTTTTTGCACTAAACTCGGAGATCGCTATTAGCACGAATGATCCCTACGCTGTACCCTAACACTTGGGCTAATATTGGCCATGCTTTGATCCTTGCCGGCATGCAGGAGGAGGGGCATCAGTTGGGATGAAGATGGTGCATTATAGAGCCGCACGGACATCCAGG